GAGGGGCAGGCTTGCCCTCTTGAACTCATTTGGGCATTGTGTCAGAGGCTTAGCCTCCAACGTGGAGTGAGTAATGTTGGCTTTGGGCTGGCCTGGCTGAGCTCGGCCCCTGCTCCCACCCCCCCTCCCCCTCCCCCTCCCTTTCTGGGTTATTCTTAGCAAGAGGTGACCTCAGAATGCTCCTACTGAGCAAAAAATAACCCTGGAGGAAGTTTGTGGGTATAAATCTTCAATGAATAAATACATATAGCTAGTAAACAGGGTATGGAGCCCCAAAGGGGCTGGTCAGTCCCTGGGGCTGGTGGGCAAGGGCAGAAACCGCCCCTCCTAGTTCCCTAGTTGTAAGCAGCAGCAACGACAAAGGTGCTTGTCAGGGCTTGTGACCAGGCAGGACCCAGCGTCAGACACCCTCACTTGTTATGTCCTTAGGAGTTGGTGAACAGGAAGGTGCCTCTTCCTCCCACCCTGACGCTCACACCCCCCCCACACACAGGCTCACACTCTCCGGCCAGCAGAAATCAGCCCTGCACACCGCTCTCCCTCCTCCCCATCGTGGGCACCGGCCAGCCCACGGGCCCTGAGCCCAGGTGCCAGCTCCCGGCCTAAGCCCCGCCCAGCCCCGCACGGGCTTCCTGTTTCCTGTTGCCTGCTCGGCTCAGGCATCCTGGCTCTGAGGCCAGTGCTGCAGACCCACCCCACTGCCTGGTTTTAACAGCCTGCCTCTCCCGATAGAAACTGCTGCAGCTTTGCCCATTTACCCACAGGCTCCCTGGTACTTGGGTCAGTCGCCCTCCTCATATTTCCTTTGACTTCTATTTCTTTGTATGCTTTTTAGACCAGGTCTACACTTCTTCCCAACAGCCCTGCATTCACATAGTAACTTAAAGTGGATCTTGGACACCCAGTCTTCCAGAGCGTGTGGCTGGAGTGGTGAGGCGTGAGCGCTGTGGGCTTTGCCGGCTGGGGGGTGTGGCGTCCAAGTCCCAGTCATCCTCCCTGAACCTCAGTCTCTTCATCTGAATGCGGGCATCATAATGACAGAGGCGCCACCTATTTCACACGGGTAAGTAAGTCATCCTTGCAGAAGGCCTTTCTTTGTAGGCAATAAAGGGCTACACAACTCTAAGCCTTATTCGCGGTCTGTGTGTCCTCAGGGAGGTGGGGAGATAGTGCGGTGTGGCTTGGCTCAGCTCAGTGCGATGGGGCGGGGGGGGGGGGCATCAACGTCAAACCTGGTGGAAGGGACGAGCTCTCTCCATGTGCTTTTTCAACTACATGGGGCAAAAGGCCAGGTGTTTGTTTGCTTAGCTCTCAATCCAGCAAGAAATAATACTTTTGTAAAATACAAAATCATGCATGTGGATGTGGCGACAGTATCAAACAGGCAAAAATTCAAACTACTCTCAAGTATAAAGACCAATGCCAGCCAAGCACGTGATCAGGGGCTTATTATCTTTTTTCAAGTATCTTTAAAATGTTTATTTATTTTTGAAAGAGGGAGAGAGAGAGAGAGCAGGGGAGGGACCAGGGGACAGAGGATCTGAATAAGGCTCTGAGCTGTCAGCACAGAGCCCGACGCAGGGCTCAAACTCACAAACCATGAGATTGTGACCTGAGCCGAAGTTGGACGCTTAACCAACTGAGCCACCCAGGAGCCCCAGGGGACTTAATGTCTTCTATTCCTTTGTGTTTGTTTGGATTAATTTTACAAACAGCTCAGAAGAGAAGGTGGTGATGGCTGAGGTGGGCTTCCCTTGCAGGATGGGCTTTGATGGTCTATGACGGTGGGGCCGGGAGACAGAAGGGAAGGGCCGGGGAGCAGCCCCCAAGGTAGCGAGAGACATGTGGCTGATGTGCTCAGGGAGCAGTGGGAGGAAAGGATTTCTAGGACAAAGGCAGTGGACACTGAGCACCAGAGCAAGTTCAGGAGAGGAGCCAGATGGAACATTCCAGACCTTGTCCCATAAGAAATGGAGTCCCTGAAGATTCTTGAACAGAAATGTACCACAGACGGTATTTAGCGTCGCCGCACGGGGTCTCCTCTCTCTAACACACTAGGCTGAAAGGTAAGTCATCTTTATCCGTGTGGTCTCCTCACCCTGGTAGGTGCTCAGTGGGTGTAACGTGTCTGTCACTGAGAGGTTACAAAGCACACTGGGGGTGGCCAGGGTCTGGTCTGGATGAGGGTGCAGCCAAGAGGCTGATGCCAGAGCAGGAGTAAGTGGAAAATACCCAGCGACAGACAGGACTTGTGGACAAAATGGTAAGACAGACAACGATTTCTTAGCCTTGGGGCCAGGGGATGGCGAAGCCGGTAGTGGCCGTACCTCATCCCTCCCTGCTGGGCCCGGGACATGCACAAATAAAGACCCTAGTCTGCAGCCGCTCGTACTCTCAGCTTCCCCGCACTTCCCCCTCTGTGCCACCTGTCGGGATCTGAGCCAAGCTCCCTCCTCTTTCCAGGCTTAGCTGGATGACACACGCTCAGCTGCTTTAAAGCTCCCTGGTCAATCTGTTCCCAGGGCCGCAGCTGTACCGGGTCTCCGCGAAGCCCTCCGGCTCTGCTCCTCTGCTGGGGAGGGGAGGTGGCCCGGGCCAGCATCTGCACCACCCAGGAGCCGACCTCGAGCGGCAGCACGAACTTTCCCGATTTCCCCTACGTGGGATCCCTCTGGGGCCCAGAGGCCTGCTGCCTGGGAAGGCCTGCGAGCCCTTCTCTCTGGGGTCAGTTTTTCTCTGTTGTCCCAGGCTGCAAGGGGTCTTTTTCACAACAGAGGCCTCGGCCCCCCGCCCTCCCGTCAGTGTTGCTGTCCCCATATTCTCCCGAGAGTCCAGGGCCTGCAGGTGCCTGCTAGGGCAGGGGCTGGACCACATGCAGACTGTGACCCCCACCAGGGCTACTGTGAGGCCAATGCTGGGCTCCCATCCGAAAGGTCTAGGAGACCCCAGCCCCACAGGCCCCCCGCATGGGAGCAGGTTTATTACACTGCCCACCCGGCCCATTTGGATCCACTTGGTCACTTGCAAAGCATCCCTGGAGGTGGACAGGACCGGTGTTCCTGGCAGTTACGTTTTCCCCATAAGGAAGCAGAAGTTCAGGGAAGGTCAGTAACTTGTTCAAGGTCACCCAGCTGGTACACGGTAAATCTTTCTTCTACCAAACTGAGGTTGCTGTAGCCTCCTAAAGAGGAAAGGTTTGGCCGGGCAAGGGAAGACTGACCTTTGCTAAGCACTGGCTCTCCAGTGCTCGCACGAACTTAATTCCCACATGTGTCTAGGAGGAATGCGTCCTTATCGTCTCTACTTTTCAGAGGGGGAAGCCGAGGCTCAGGCAGTGACTTCTTCAAGGTCACATGGGTGGTCAGCGGTGGAACCAGGATTTAAATCTGGGTCTGTTATAGTCTAAACACAGTGCTTTTCCTTCCACACTAGCCCCTGTTCCGGGTGGGGGTGGGGAGGGCATATGACCCACTGACTCTTCACCCACTTGGCCCTGCCCCTCCCCCCTCGCATTTGTCCATCTCTGGACACATTTCTACAAACCTGCCCCTGACGGCCTTGCACTTTCTTTCCTGAGGCCTCGCCTCGCCTCCCCTCAGCTCTCAGTGATATGCGCCCCTTCTGGCCCCGGGGACTCACAAGGATGAGCAAAGGGATGCCAGGCCTTTATTTGCTATAGGTGGTCATTCTTGTCCCAGGTGTACCTGAGTCGGGGGAGTGGGGGACCGAGTTCTCAGCCACAGATCATGGCCACACGTGCAGACGAGTAACAACTGGTGGGCTCCCACTACCTCCAGCCTTCACTGGGGCCCTTCCACCTTCTCCCACAAGGTGCCTGTGGGGAAGGAGAGTGGAGGGGCACCCTGGGAATCTGAGAGTACAGCCTGGAGTCTGCTGCAAGCTGGAAATTCCTTTGAAGTCGCCTGTTTTATCTTTCAACCTCATGTGAATTTTTCATCACAGGCCATAAAATATCCATGTTTGCTTTAATATTAAAATGCTTAAAATTACTTACCAATTAAATGACTTAACTCCTGCCCTCCCCCCCACCCCTCCTAATCTCCAGGCAGAGGTGGCAGTGGTGGGCTTTGGTACCCACAGGTGCCCAAACCTCCTGGCTCTAAGAACGCCCTCTCCTCTGGCTGATGTAGCACTCTCTCCCTCTGCCCTCCTTTTCACTATGGCCCCCATTCACCCCGACTCTCTACCTGCCCTGCTGAGAACATTTCCTTGATAGGCTGAGTTACAAATCTGAGCTCTCAGCTTTCCCTTGCCTACTTGCTCTGAGTTTCCCATTCTCAGCTGGAAGGGGCTGAAAGAAAGGAACGGTCTTTGGGGCTGGCAAGTAGCTATTGCTGTACCTCTGAGTCTAAGGCACAGGCAGGCCGGCTCCTAGAGCCCTCAGAGCATGCCCTCTGGAGCAGTCTTCATCTTGGGCAACGCCGGGACTCCCCCTAGACTCAGAGATTATGGGGCTGGCCCTGTAGCCCACATTTCCAACAGTGGCAGGTTCTCCTTCTTTCTTCTGGAGGGACCCATCAGCCTGCATCTCGCCTACTCACTTTGGTCAGATTTCCAGACCTGGGTTCCCTTCCTCCAGGTCCTCAGGTGGGGCTGAGGCCCGGGATGGAGGGGGAGGGGGCCTGTGCAGGCTGGCCAGGGAACCACAAGCTCTACCGTCAAAGTCACAGGCCTGGCCCAGGCCGAACTTTCAGGCTCTCTTACTGCCCTTCCAGAAAAGTCCCAGCTCTGCCAGAATTCACAGTGCAAATCCTCTGGTCTCTAGGGGTTTCCAGTTCAATGCAGAAACCAGGAAAGTGTGAGAGTGGTGGTAGGGTTCAAAGCACAGGGAATGTCAATGAGCTCTGTACTCGGAGGGAGTCCCCTGGTCCCTGCTGGACACATACCACTGCTTTCAGAGCGTGCATGTGTGTACCCGTGCACGCGTGTGCCCGTGCACACGTGCACGCACTGGGGGGAGGGGATACCGTGACACTCACCGGGGGGTGCTTGCGCTTCCGCCCGGGCCGCCCCACCTTCCGTGCTGTTGTGCTGGGCTCCTGCCGCTCCTCCTTGCCACGAGCCTCCTCCGGCTCCTCTCCCTCCTGCGGGTATAGACACAGCCTGTGAAGCCAGGGCTGGATCCAAGAGGCCTCCTCCCTGTCCCACCCACCCCGGTGACAGCCACACTTCCAAGTCTGTGCCAGGCTGCTCCCCCCCAGGCCCCCTCCACTTCTTGCCTGGCAAAGCTCAAGCTGCCCCTTAGAGTCCCATTTAAATAAAACCTTGGGGAAGATTCAGGGCAGACGCTGTTGACCCAAGCACTGAGCCGCTCTCCTTCCCGGCGGACACGTTTTCCCCAAGCACAGGGTCACAACACACGCTCTGACAAAAAGTGTGTTTCTGGATATGAGTTTATATGAAACAAACCTCATACGAGTCCTAAAATTAAATTAGTGATATATTTCATGAATCATCTTTCCTGCAAAACCATAAAATCACGTGACAAGAAATAGTAAATTTGGCGACTGGAAATACCAGCAGCACTTGGCATTGGGGACTAGGGCAAACAGGGGAGGACTTTCAAGGCCACTGTGATATATCGGCCCTGAAGCATTTGCCGTGCACGCCTGCCACCCCCCCCCCCCCACCGGGAGCATCTCAGGGACAGTGTCTTGGTTCATCTTGATGCCCCGCATTCACGGAGCTCTGGACCAGAAGTTGGATCTTGTGAGTCACCTCCCCCAGCACCTGATGGAGCGGGGCCCTGCACCGTCGTCTCATGGAGCACAGAGGCACAAACCTAGAAAGTCCTCCTGCCTCACTGCTCCAGCCTGGCCACAAACCACCCACGGGTTTCTTCTGACTCAGCCGTCTCCAGCATGACTAATCACAAACAGAAACAATGATGGGGAAGGAGAAAGGGACCCTGACCCGGCAGAGGGATCTCAGGCAGCTCTTCAAGCCCTCGGTGATGTCAGGAGCCAAAGATGGCTTCCCGGTCCCCCCTGGGGAGGGTGCCAACCCAGGGCCGCACCGGCGCCACAGAGGAGAAAGGGAAGGTGCATGGGTTCCCTGTGGATTTAACCAGATGTCCCTCGACATCCCACTCAACTTTCATTTTCTGTGATTTCAAAATAGCTTGTGGTTTGCCTGGCTGTGGGCGGGGAGGGGAGGGTCCAGGGTGGAAAGAGTCTATACCAGGACCAGAGACCCTTGACAGGCTCTTTTTAGGAAAACATGGCAGAGAAGCTGTGAGAGCAGAAAGACCACGGAGGGGGACCACCAGATGGCAGGCAGGGCTCCAAGCACAGGACCCGGGGCACATGCCCCATAGTAGGCCAGCCCTCTGGCTCTGAGCTGTCCTTGGGGAGACCTCGTGAATGCCCGGTATAAGAGATGATCACCCGGATCGCAGACAGAAGAACCATTAGCAACGCAGCTTCATCTCTGAAGGTTTCAGTCTGACCTACGGAATGGTGGTGAATTTCAGGTCGAGACAGTGCTTTTGTTCTGACCCCACCGCTGCTAAATGAGCACCGTCTTCCTCGTTCTGACCGGGTAACTCAGCGTTTACAAAACAGAGCCAATGTGAAGTCATGCAAAGGCGCAGGACTTAGAGCAAACCAGAATGGGTTGGAGCGCGGCTTGTCCATTAGCTAGCTATAGTGCCATTTTCTTGGAGCCTCGCTCTCTTCATCCCTAAAAGGGGAATCTGAAGGTGTCTGAAGGTTCTGCCTGCTTCTCAAGTTTTTCAGAGAACCAAACCAATGTTTTGTCCCCTTGTCTCTTTTGCACACTGCTGAGTTCCCAGAGCCTAGGACAGGCCCCCCGCTTAGTGAGTTTCCCACAGGCCCCCCCGCAGGAGGGGCTCACATAATCCCCAGCAGCAGGAGCCCCCCTCAGCCCTGCATTTGCCTGGAAAGCACCAGGCCAGACCTAGCAAAGCCTCTGACCACTCCTCATGGCTGGGACCATGGACTGGAATGCACCAGGCAACAGGCAAGGACGAGGCACTGATGTGGTCACAGGGCCTGGAAAGACTTCTACCGCCCAGAAATTCTGGGCTATGAGCTTTTTCTTTAACAAACTGCATTTCTTACAGGGGATTCATTTGATTTTCTAACTTTTGCTCCGAACTAACCTGCAAAGTGAAAGTCCTTCAGAGCCCTCCAGCAGCACTAAGGAACCACAGTCACCACACTGTGATGACCTAAAAACAATAACACTTGACATTTCAGGACTGGTGAGGCCTGGCTTCCATCAGCACATAGAGAAAGGCTTGGGAGGGGAAGGGGGGAGAGACCCTGAGAGGCAACTCTCGTGCTACCGGAAGACTGCTGCAATCCAGCACCTTAGTGCCACTGACTACGCCTGACGCATAGGGGATGCTCGGCATCTCCTCCCCCAGTGAATTTGGCTCCACACGACACGGCCTAGGAGGAAGGGGTGGAACGCCTGCAGCCACACCACCTGACCAAGTCTGGGTATGTGGAGCATGTGCACACCACCCCCCCGGGCGGGCTGTCGCATGCTGAGCCCGTCTCCTGTCCCCAGTGCAAGGCACAGTGTGATACACCCGGTCCAGCATTCAGGCCTCACCCCTGGGTTGTGCTTGAAGAAACCAGATCTCTCCAAGAGCCCGGGTCGGAACTCAGGTCTGCGTGACAACTGGCCCACGGCCTTTCCATCAGACCCTTAAGCACAGCTTTGTAAGAAGCATGTTATTTGGGGCCAACACTTCTTTCTTCCATGACGTAGCGATGTCACAGGGTGACGAGCAGGGTGGTAAGGCTTCCTGCTCCGGGCCTGCCCTGGTCCACACACAGTCAGGGGGATGACACATGGGGACGGGAGCAGATGGCTCAGGGCCGTGCCCCTCAAGGAGGCGTATCGAGAGGTTCATTCTCACATCTGTCACAGGGCTGGGTTTCATTCAATATCTTTGCTGATGGGTTGAGCGAAGGAATGTAAAATATGCTTATCCAATCTGCACACAGCCCTGACTTAGACAGCGTCACTAATACTCTGAAAGAAAAGCATCTGATCCCCAGTGACTTGGAGCAGCTGGAAAACAGTAACAAATTTAGTAGGAACAGACATGAGCCCAGGTTGGTTTCCTCATTCGTCAACTAAGGGGACTGAATGAGTCAATCCCTACAGTGGGGGTGGCAGGACGGGGGCGGAGATTCTAGTTGGGTGGGATGGGGGGGGTGTGAGCTGGCCTTTTTTGTCTTGCCCTCGAGTTGCTAGTAACTTCAAGCTATCTAACCTGAGTCTCTCTTTCCTCACCTATGAAACGGGGCTGATAATATCTGCTTGACAGCGATGCCATGACAATTGAGTGAGGTAATATATCAAGAGCTGACACATGATAGTCACTGAAGAACTACTAACTCCTGCTCCACCCGTCCTGACCAGAACTGTTCAGAGGAGTGCCCCCCTCCCTCCCTGCCCCCCGGCAGAACCCATTGCCCTGCATTTGCAGCTATCACTCACTGCTACAAAATTAACCCCAGCATCTGGCTGGTACTGCGGCAGTGAGGCACTCAGGAACACCGGCTCTCTGATCTTTCCAGAATGCAAAGCTGATTATGTCACTCTGCAGAGCTTAAGCCCTTGCTGAGGGGGCTTCCAGGGGACTGCACGATCAGACCAAGCTCCTTAGCCCGTGTGAAGGAAGGCCCCCAGGATCTAGCCGGCTGCATTGGCCTCCTCTCCACACTGCTTTCCTCCCACTCACGTAAACAGACTGCACCAGGTGCAAAAGTGGGCTGCTTCCCTCCCCAGTGCCTTGGCATAGACCATTCCTTCTGCCCTCACTGCCTCCCCCTCAGGTTGACCAACAAGTTCTTACTTTTCCAACCTAATGTCCTTCCTCTTGGTCCCCTCCTCAGATGGGAGTCCCTAGATCCTTTCTCCCCACAGCACCAAACATCCAGCACTGTGATGGCCAGCTGGATGGGCCATGAGCAGCTTGGGGGAAGGGACTGTCTTATTCACCTTGGCATCCCCAATGCCTAGACCAATGCGCCTAGGTCTAGATGAGTGACTGTCACATGGTATGTACTCGCAGTAAGTGACTCCATACACACAGAGAGAGACACGCATGCAAATCTACAAACCTACAGCTGTGTGAAGACAACTGCATGAGGCTCCAGTGCCGCCCTGATCTTTATGACTTCAAATCAGGAAACAGGATGACTAACATGTACTTTCTAGGCTTACACAGAATCATGTCACTTTACATTTATGTAACCCTTTACAGCTTTCAAAGCACCTTCACATTTGGTGGCCTGTTAGATTAGGTAGTTACCATCAGCCTCTCTAAACTTCTGAGGCTATGATTTGACCTAGATTTTAACACAGCTCACTGGATGGATTATTTTAAGCCACATACAACTTCTCATTCTGATGAGCTGGGCTATGACGATAATAATCTCTCGCAGTTGTACAGTACATGGTAATTAACAAACCATTTTCACATACATTAGCTCATTTTATTCTTTCTGCTTTATAGAAAGCAGAGCCCTTGTTATTTATTTATTTTTTTCTTTTTCCATTACACAGGCGGGAAATCTGAAGCTCAGAGAGGTTATCTAACTTGCAGAGATCAGAGAGCCAGGAAAAAAAGGCCTTTAGAACCAAAATTTAAATCTTTCGATTCCTAGCTCATGGGTCTTTCCACTGCAACATGCCACCATACCCTATTATGCTCTGCGCTGCTGACGTGTGTCGCCGTGTGCGGCACGGGGAAACCGTGAGCGCACAGGCGATCCAAGGTGAAGGCACACACTGGCACTCACACGTGGGTATCCACACAGTTGTCTCAGGAGGCTCATGCCCAGACACGGGACCCCTCCCCTAAAGAGATCTGCATCCCACCCAGAGAGAGCCGGCAAGATGTACGTGCTCCCTCTAGAACAGACGACGGATCCTACGGACCCAGCACCCGTTGAGCAGATGTCTCAAGTTGGTGTTGGAGCTGAGGGGATGAACTTGACAGATCTAGCCAGACCCTTTGGGACAAGAGGCACGTACAGCCTTGGCCAGCTGTCTGGCTGGCCTCCAGGAGCTGTCTGTGATCGCGGAATTCAATGAAACC